TGACGCTGATGCTAGCCGGGTCGAGTCGTGCGAGAAGACCACCGAACGAACAGTATTACTATGGCCCTCAAGCGTTTGCAGACATGTCCCGCTACTTACATCCCAGATCTTGACAGTCGTATCGCCTGAACCTGACGCTAGCTGGGTCGAGTCGTGCGAGAAGGCCACCGAGTTAACATTACTGCTATGGCCCTCGAGCGTCTGCAGACACGCACTCCAGCCGTCGCTCATAGCTGGCTTGAGAGCTACTCCCCTTGGTTCTTCGTACTGGAACAGCCTTCTTATTATACTGTCTGCTGGACTAAACAGCAGAGCAGATACGTACGCTTGTAAAGGATAGTTCTCAATTGCCTCCTTATGATACATGATCAATCGTCGTGCGTCGTACACAATCTTGTTTAATGCATCTATGTCTCTGAGTCCCTAGCGACGTTAGTAACTATATTATAAAGACTGTGTGTAGCTATATGGGTTGTACCTGGACTAAATGCCACAGTTTTGTCATCGAGACCACCCCTTTGGCCATGCTTCTGCACAAGCTGAGCGCTTCTAGCCAGTAGAGATATCTCTGCCTAAGAAATGCGTCTATAGCCTTAGTTTCTTCTTGAGTAGTAGCACTATGTGCTAGTGTTTTGTGTTTGGAGTCACAGAAATGGTCGATCCAGTACACACATGGGTAGCGCGACACGGCTAGAGATCTAGGAAGAGGCTGCTTAACGTCTCTAATAGGGTATCCAGGCGTTTGAAGGTCACACATATCTCTGCGCAGTGTTTTGCGCAGAATAGTAAGTGACTTCGCAAAGATGTCTTGATGCACATATTCTATACCATCTAAAAAGACCTCATTTAACGCTTTCGTAACAAGGAAGTCCTTAGCTGACTGATGCACAAAGTAGATTATGTCGTCGCGCAGCGTAAGGAATGATCCGCAGAGACCGATAATCTCTCGCGCAGACTCTAGGTCATCGACAAAGTCTGCAAGCTGTTTAGTAAGCACAACTAGCTCAGCGACTGTGACGGGTCGATACAAGACAGCAGTTACTGCCAGCACCCGCAGACATCTTCGAGCGCTACTAGACTTGCGTATCTGGTCTAGCATCTGCCTATAAAGTGAGTCTAAACCAGGCGGGAACTGGGCTAGCATCTCGCGCACGTCCCATTTCGGCGTCGCTTTAAGGTCTTGGCACACCAACGCAACCCAGAGGAAGGTGTCGTTCGCATTCGAGGTTAAGTGCTGGAGCACCGCGTCTTGCATCTCTGGCGTATAGCGCTTCTCTTGGGCTAGCCGAGATACCTTCTGCTGGATAAAAGCCTTAACCGCTGCTGAGACTAACTCGGCGTTCAGCTCAAGGCTCAGCGGCGTTTTGCACTCTATACGCTCTAGTTGTTCCTCAATAGTTGGCCAGTTTCGACTAGACACGATCCACTTGACGCGAGAGGACGTAGATGACTGCTCTGCGATAAAGCTAAGTAACTTTAGCTGATTAGTTATGCATTCATCGAGTGCGTCGATAATTATGTACGTTGTGCCTAGACTTGCATCTTGCAGGACGTCAGCGAAGATCTCTGTCAGGGCGACCCAGGCATTCGCGTCCTCGAATAAGCTTTTGCCTGCATAGTCGTGCTTCTTGCGGACGTGCGACACAAGAGACGGCTGCTGGTGCATAAGCATATACAACAAGCCCCGCAGCACAGCTGTGGCACTATTAATGCGCGAGTCAGTCGCTTGGCAGAAAAAGTACGACAGAAGAGTATTCTGAGGTAAAGAACTTCGCAGTTCGTTGATGACGCCACACAGCAGCATCGTTTTTCCCTTGCCAGGATCGCCTTTGACCCAGAGCAGTCGGCTGTGCTTGTCCTCATGCCACTGCCTAAACGCGGTGTTGTCGAGGATCCAACGGTAGGAGTCTGTTAGCAGTCCGCCTTTTGTCTCCTCGATGCGCTTCTTGTCGTCGCGCGGGTCTGTTTGGCGTATGTCTTGAATGCATCGTTCCAGCTTGTGAACCTCGTCCATTAGACGCTTGAACGCGCTCGGTCCTCCTTCACCGTAAGCCGGCGCAATCTCAACATCTAAGACGCCTGCTAACGAATACCACGCATCTTCATCGCGTTTGGTCTGCCTGTCGCCTTTCCACTGCAGACGCTGCTTGATACTAAAGCAGGAAAGCGAAGTTCCGCTAAGAACTTTAAGCGGTATGCCTGTTGTCTTGTGAATCGGGAGCTTAAGCGAAGTCTTGTTGCCAAGTATCTTTCCTTCTTGAGAATAAAACTCAACAACAGTAGGGGCGAGAAGCTCTTGAAGCGTCCAGCCACGTGTGAACCACCGACTCGACCTGAATGCAAGCTCCGAGCTGGACCCTACAGACATGCAATCGGCGTTGATAGACACATCTGAGAGGAAGACGTAGCACTTGATGGCAGAGCGGTACCAGTGAAACATGGACTGTATCGCACACGAATGCTCAGCCTTGTCTGTCGTGTCGATGCAGCACGTGTCAATCCAGAAGTACTGGAGATTGTCGTGCTGCGCTTGTTTTCCGCAGAAGATGATCTTCTTGTAGCCCGGCTTTATCTTGCCACCGCCTGTCTGGAGGTCTGCAAAGGTCACCTCGTACAGCGCCATCGTCGAAGCTGTGGATTCTGAGCTCTCCGCTTTCGCTGTACTGTAAGAGCCGCATAGGTTCGTGTGGGTGTATCGTAGGTATGTGCGACGGGAACGGGATTCGAAAGGTTGAACTTGGTAGCCTAGTCGCGCGGGCGCTTGTTGGCTGCTTTCCTGCTACCGATAGATGGTCAGCATACAGAGAAAACGACGAGCAGGTGCACCGGCTCAGGTACCAGCAAGATCCTTGTGATGCGTCAAGGTGTCGCGACTTGAGGCTGCCGGCTTTGTTGTAGGTACTCTTGTTTTGGTGGAAGCATGTGTGAAGCCCTAGGCGGGGTAAAGCGTGCCATGTGCACTGCTCGCAAGGCTGAGCCGCGTCTGCATCCAAAGCTGCAAAGGAGCTGAAGCCCTTGGCGCTATTGCCAGGGTCTAAGTACTGACGCGATTAAAGCTTGCCATTACAACTCAGGCCATATGAGAAAGCAGTCGCGCAAATGCAACACTTGGTTAGTTATAGACAGCATTTAGGTTTAGATTCGACTCAAATTTTCCTTCCTATCTAGCCTACTCAATGCTGCGAGATCCTGTCATACAGAGCTAGAGAGAGTGGTCTAGTACATCCTGGCTACAGGCGCTCTCCATGCAGATACCGGCGCATGTGTTAGCTTAGGCGTATTGATCTTTTGCGTTGATACTTTAAGCTTCAGCGACGACAGAATCGTCGGTCCTTCTAACGCGTCGCTCTTGAGAAGCCAACAGAATTTACAACCAGTCTGCTTCTAAGAATAGCTGACAACTGTGTGCTTGCGCAGCACACGGTAGAAGTTTCTAGAGCGCTGCGCCACAGCTCAAGCCGTCTTGGTATAGCGTAAGTGTACATCACAGGCCGCTAAGCTTTCAATACTGGCTGTTTCAGCACGCTAAGTCTTCTCGTCCAATCTGATGAACTGGCACGTCGCACCGGAGCAACTCGGAGAGCACTTGGATCAGTGCTGCACACATTTCTAAGAGCAGACTATATTATACAGTCACTTAAGTATCTTATAAGGACTCCGAGGAATTAAGCGATAGTGTTATATAAGAGAGAGCAGGGGTGTTCTGTCGTTGCACCTTCTATGCCAAAGACAAGAAGCTTAAGAACACAAGCTACAACGCTGTAACTTTACTATGTAGAGCTTGCACTAGGTAGAGATAAAGGCAAAGAATACAATCTTATCAACTTGACACTATACGATTGTGCTAGGTGGGTATAACATGGTTGGACAACATTCGTGGTTCGTTGCGGGGGGATGTTCGACCCGCAGGGACGGACGTTAGTAAAATAACCTATCCTATCATCAATCCCCGACAGGATTAGGGTCGATTCCGACCCTAATCCCAGATTTCTTGGCGAGTTTGCAGACCCTAATCCTGACAGTTATTCCACAGAGAACAAACCTTTGTTCCATTTTTGTGGCCCGCGCTCTTGGTTCGCAGGGGGCTTATTCCCTAAGATTTAGAACAAACCCTTCTCCTTAGTCCTTAGTTATGGAAAGTAGCTGTAACATAAGTATATGGTACAGATAATTCGTGCGCATCTAACGTACTACTCAGGTATTA